GAAAATGTCGGGATTCCTTTTATGTAGATTGAATGGCATATTTTTAATTAGCATTACTTTTCTGGATTTCTTTTCTCCTTTTTCTCCTTCTTTTTGAAATTAGTGAGAGAAATCCTTAGAGCTCTTCTATATGAATCTGGCTTTTCCCAAAGACTTGGAATTTCAAAAAGACATGTCAAAATGAGATACGACCTCTGAATTAGGCAACCTGGTGAACTAAAATGGCTGATGCAGCAAAGCTACTTGGCCCTTGTTAGAGAAAAAATTAGGACACACTAGCACATAGTGGTTGGGTTAGCTGACCACGCCAACAAGAAATATTTGTTTCCATTGTCATTAGGAGGAAGGAAAAATAAAACATCAAGAAACTTTTTCCTGCTTTTCACCAAGAAGTAAATCCAGATCTTCATGCATCCCAGTTTATTACAAATAATGAACCCTGCTTGTTTGCAGTATGGTGTTTTTCTTTTTTACTATACTGCTCAACTAAATTTACTTATATTTTTATTTGGGATTTTTGCATTTTTGGTACTAGATGTGGGCTTCATAAAACAAATAGGATGAACAACTGCCTATCCAACATGATCTCTTTTTGAATATTTGATATATTTCACCCATAAAACTACAAAGGCCAGGTGCCTTTGGAGGAGGAGAGACTTTGTTTAAGTTTTGTTTTTTGCACAAGTTTTACAATTTCTTCTATGGCCTTTGTTCTTTTAATTTTTTTTTTTTTTTTTACTTATAGAATAAAATTTGATACCTTACTTTTGCTTAGAAATGCACCCACTTCACCGAGATTTCTCACATATCTAACCATAGTGTTGATACCACAAATTCTTGACTATCAAATGGAGAAAAGACATATATAATACTCAACTGGTAATGTATAATTATTCGTGAGTTTTTTAGTTGCACACACCCATATCAGCCTTGGGTGCATGATCATTTACCCTCCTCTGTGCCAGACTTCAAGACTCTTGCTCCACCTCACTATCAGTTGCTGAGCTGGGATTTAGGGAGAACATTTCCTCTGGTTACCGAAGATTTTCCACTTGTGAATAATTGGAAATAGGACCATTGATTTTTTGAATAATTTCCCCACAGGTCAAGGGTAACAACAATGACAAGAAATCCATAGCCCCAATTTTGATGGTCTAGAGCTACTCACACCAAGGAATTTCCAATACCAGCAAAGCACAGAGTACTTATTTGCACAAGCAATGGGGAAAACCCAGTGCTTTCTCCACTGGCAGATTTATTTGCAGAGACACAGGCATTTTTTCCAGGGTGGCTGCCAAACTATCTCCTGAGCCTGTCTAGCTAGCACCTGGACTACTCAGCAGGGGGCTTTGCAAATAATACCCTCCCCTTTGCCAGGGTAGAGGCAGGCTGAGTGATTCTGTTTCAGGCTGTTGTGGCACCTTAATCTTTCTAAACTGCTTCACTCCTATTCTGGGGCCTACCCAAGCATGGCTGGCAGGAGGTGTGGCCAGAGCAGCTCTAGGCCTGAGGCTAAGGGCAAGGGCCCAGGGGGAAATGGTAAGTGTGGGAGAGAAGCTTTCAGTTCCTGAATTCAAAATTTGAATGTCCTGGGAAATTGCAATGGATCTGGGCATAATTCTTCCATCACAACTTAAAACAACATGGCGAGCGGACAAAAGCCATCAACTGTGGGAGAAGAAAGGAAATGAATAGTGATTCAGCACAAACCCACGTCCCAGGTTCTGTGCTCTTTCTATGTTGTAAGAATGATCTCTCTTTCTTTTTTGAAGGTTTGTCAGAACTCACAGAAGCTGTTATTTAATTTTTACATTCATCCTTAAAGATCCCTTACTCTACCCAATGAGTGTTGTGTTGTTATTTAGCAGAAAACTGCTTTCTTTAAATGAAGGTTTGGCTGAACTTACTTGCTATTTACTATCATATTCATACTTAGAGATCTGCTCCTTCGCACCCGACAAGATCATTGTTATTTCAAGCAGAGGACTCCTTTTTTTTTTTTTTTTTGCAATGAACATTTTAGTTTATCTTATTATAAAGATGAAGCTCCTTTGGTTCAAAGAGGTCTCAATCTGGTGGCCCCTGAAATAATATATTACCTTAGAGATCTGAGGCATAAAACCCACTGAATTTGATTCTCTCTAAAATTTCATGAGTGCTAATCAGTTTCCTCTACCAGGAAAATCTCCAAGATCCAAAGGAGAAGGGTCCTTCCTTCTGTGAGTCCTTATGAATGGTTTTTGGAGACATTTGGAAGGACTCTATGACTGTGGGCAGGAAACAAGTCCTGGAGAGGGAGGGAAAAAGCCCGAGAGGCAGAAATGCTTTGACAGACAGTACTGTGTTCAGGCCAGGTGTAGCCATGAGTGATACCACCCAAAAGACCTGGCATTATGTTTCCTGGGGGAGGTGTCCAGCCCCTCATCACTCACATTCAGGGGACCTTGGACCTCATATGAAAATGTAAAATGTATTCCTGTGCTGCATGTAACTTTTTATGCACACACCCCTGGAAGACAAACACACCAAACACCATGGTAGCTGGTTAACTTTACGGGATGGATCATCCCTGTGGACAGAGGGAGGCTGGGGCAGCACAGGAGCGCCAAGTGCTTGGCAAGGGGCAGAGACACTGAAGGGACAATGGATCGTGAGCAGAGAGAAAAGGATCCAAAGTCACACTTGGCCAACTTCAGAATTTTGCCCTTGCCTTGTCCTGCATCTTAAATTGCCTTTCTTATGAGAAACAAAAGTATTTTAATAAATCTTTTTTTTCCACATAGTAATCTGTCAGAGAAAGTCAACAGGGTGGCTACATGATCCCAAGGATCCGTTCGCCTTCTTTGGATTCTTCTGGGCACTCAGGGGCTCTGTGTCTTGTCTAGGTTTCCCTGGGTAGTGAAGATTTTTAGAAATGAACTGGTTAAAGGAAGGTCTTCTGACACCCAAAGCAGTGCTCTCTTGATTATTTTCCCTTTAGTGAAAGAAGTTACCCTTCAAGTTTTGTCACCAGTGTCTTGACCCTCCCTCTAAATATAACCTCTAAAGGGTTATATTATTGACCAGGGGGGTGTAGCACACTTATTTCCCCTTCAGTGATCTTTCACAATTTTTTTTCCATGTCATACCAGCCAGTTTTTTTTTTTTTTAAAAACTGTATTAGCTCTTTCCTTTATATAGACTTCCCTTGTATTTTATACCTTTTAAAATACAGGAGTATTCATAGATTCCAGGACTTGGCAATACATGGCAAATATTTGATGTTTTCCTGTGACTTTCATTCAGGAGCATCTATTCCTTACCTTAGCACCTTAGCAGGTAGTAAATTGTGGAAATGGGGTGCTTTTTAGCTGTTAGTCTTTAAGAAAAACTTGTAAATTGTTTATGATGCTAGATGGCAATAACAGTGAATAAAGCCAGCATTGTCTTTATTATTAGTCTGTAGAGCTTATACTTTCAAGGAGAACATGAGTACTGGCAGACATGGAGACATCTGTGGACCATGGTCTGTGATCAGGGATCAGTACATATTGTTCTAGACCAATGGCACTGGATAATTTAGAGTCACAAAAGGAATGATTTGGTGTTACATTTTTAATAAGCCTATCAAAAACCGTTACCACCTGCTGTAACTTCTTAGTGATTTAGTTGCTACCTGGATTATCCAATCTAGTTTAAAGCACATCAGTTTTATTTATTTATTTATTTATTTATTTATTTATTTATTTATTTATTTATTTATTTATTTATTTTTAAAGATTTTATTTATTTATTTGAGACAGAGAGAATGACAGAGACAGAGAGCACATGAGAGGGGGGAGGGTCAGAGGGTGAAGCAGGCTCCCTGCTGAGCAGGGAGCCCAATGTGGGACTCGATCCTGGGACTCCAGGATCATGACCTGAGCCGAAGGCAGTCGCTTAACCAACTGAGCCACCCAGGCGCCCTAAAGCACATCAGTTTTAAATAAATACAAGAAGATCAAAGAGTCATTATATTACTTCAAATGCCTTCTATCTTCCAAGAGCAGATGAAAGGGGGGGGGGGTGTCTTCTTTTTTCTCCAATCAGGGAATAAATTTTTGTGTAGAGAGATGTAGCATGCTCTTTTGCCAAGTTAAGGTAGGAAGACTGGAATATAAATCTGTGCCATTGATAGAAAAATAACTTTAAGTGAAAAAATACTGTTATTATTTAATAGTTTTGATATTGCATTGATTCTAAGCACCTTTGTGTGAACAGGGTCAAAACACAATTTCATCATTTAGGTGAAAGCCAAAGAAATCTGAGATTAAGAAGACTCAGTCTACAGTAATGTGGAAGCCAGAAAGGGAGGTGCGGCTGTGAATGATGGATAATAGAGTCAATTTCAAGTAGGTAAGGGATTTTTGCTAATTCTTCCTGCTCCTCATTCAAGGATAAAGGAGACAGGATTTTAAACCAAAGTGAAAGAGATAAAGGAAATTTTCAAAAGCCATAGGACCAGTGTTCTTGTATGAAACATGCTGCCAGTCACGTTTGAAGGAACATTCTAGAAAGGTTTTGGAAAATTTACATTAGTACTTAGTTCTGAGTCCAACCAGAGTAGAAACAATATGAGCTCTCCCTCCCCATATTTCAAGTGATATATTTGCCATTCTTTGACTTTTGGGAACATCTCTCCTTGCTCTTAGAACCGTTAGACGTTTGCCATTGTTGAATTAAATTTAGCTCACAACATTATTTTGAGCCAAAGCTTTTGTCATTTTTAAATTTTGAGGGCTAGATAAAGTTAAATCTGTGAGAGGAGTTTTCAAAGAGAAATGTAGCCAATTACTACAACAGTCTGAAGTAAAAAGATCATTTCTAGGAGCTGCATGCATTGATGTTAGACTTGTGTAATTAAGCATTTTAATGAAAGCAAAGCTCCAGAGTGGATATTAGTCACAAGTAGCCCGTTGTCCTAAAATGGGACACAGGGCCAAAAGTTAAATGTCATGTGCTTAAAAAAAACCGAACGGCACTGAGCTTGTAATGTATATTTTATTTTGCACAAGCTTGCATATATACTGCACATACATTCAGTTTAAGAGAAGATGGAAGGCACACAAGGCAATTGGACTACTGTATCCTTTAAGTGGTACAAAGCAAAAGGTAAAAGTTTGGAGAGTATACAAAAGCTTAAAACACACAAAGTAAAACCCCCTACCCACCCGCCCCCCAACAACTTTTTTCTGTTTTAAAATTTAGTAGCTGCCAAACTAAATTTTTGTACTTTTACTTTAAAATCAATTGTCTACTGCACCTTTTTATTTTCTTTTTAATATGGACAGGGAGTCTCATTTTTTTTATCATATCAATTAATATTACAGTACATCCTTGGTAATACAAAATTGTACACCTTCATCAAATAAATTAGGATAAATTAAACCAATAAATTATGCAAAGTCTTCAGAACAATAGACAACAACAAAAATCCACAATTGAAATTGCCTCTAGCTAAAAAAAAAAAATCAAAAATTGACTTTATCAGTTCAGTTATTGTACTATATTCAAATCAAAGGGTCTTTATTACAAAAAAAGAGCTTAATAATGCTATTTACAACATATTGCTAAATAATATAAAGGCAGTGTTTTTGTCACGGTATATACTATATACATATGAGAAGTGGCTGGGACAACATCGGGAGAAGCCATGACCTTTGATTCTTGTAGGTAGCACTGAGACCAACCCCAAATATATGTTTTTCTAATTCTAATCTTGAAGTGGTAATATACAGTTTGAAAATGCTTTCCCCCCGATGTGGAGGATTAGAGTATTTTTAAAACACAGAATGAATACATTTTCACAAAAACGGGCCAGTCTGTTTTTCTTTTCTTCTCATGTTTGTGCATTTTAGAGGGTGTCAGATTTGAGAGAGGGCTCAGTTGAAAGACTCAAAGTCCAGACGCTTCCAGATCCTGTTGTATTCTTAGAAGGATAATTATAAGAAGATGCAAAGGTTAAATACCAGTTTTGATCCCAGCTCTGAATATGAACATTTTAGCTTTAGTTTTATAGATGGTTTACAACCAACAGATCTACAGAAAACAAAACTGCATTTCCTTCAACAGAACATTTAAGTGCAATGCAGTAACCGCTTACTCATATAAACCAGTTACATTCTTTTAAGGGGAGCTTTTTGAAAACAATGCTTCTTGTAATTTGCAAACACAGAGTTTGTACCAGAAGAAAACATTTGTACTATTCACACCAATGAATATTCTATAATATACATGGCAAAGAGATTCTGCTCTATCCTCACATGTACAGTGCTTTCAGGGAGTCTGTAAACCACTTTTTCTTTGATAAATTTATGATTGCTTCTGGGGGACATCCTATTTTTAAAGCCCCCAAATCTTCAGCTTTATGACTTAGTATTAACCTGTATGCGTTTGTGTGTGTGTGTGTGTGTGCGTGCGCACGTGTGTGGTTACTTACGAAGTGTTTTCATGTACATAGAAAAAAAATTTCATAAATTTACAGAAACTGCATTACCCTTGCCCTTGACATCTGATGAAAGAGACTGTTATCTTTTAAAAGTAGAGAGCAGGATTTTCAAGAATGCTTTCAACTGTCTACACAGTCACTATAGTGTTCCTAATAAATTCAACAGATGTTGTGAGAATGTAGTTATTTATTAAAATCTCATGTCTTACGTAACAACAGCCATGAGGTTAAATATTTACATTGCTTTATAAAAGTTCCCCTCTTGCTTTAGTGTTTTTGTTTTGCCTTTTTTTTGTTGTTTTTAACATTTTTAAAAATGATATTCACCCACATCCCTAGCACAGCAACAAAGATTCTGCAAACATAAAACACTTGAATTAAATAATACTCGGAGGCACAAAGCAAACTTCAGGAATATGTGGGTGAACACTTCCTTAAATAATTACTACATTCTACCATCTTCCACGTTGTTTTACCATTTAATGTGAAACGTCCTCATTAAACAGCCAGAGATACAGTAAGAATTAAATGTTTTGTCGTTGCAAATAGAACATTCTTTTCACAAAACATAACAAATGTCTAAAATAGGTCCTTAAATCTAGATAGGAAAAGGTAAGCTTTCCACTTCACACGCATATATATATGTGTATTTTTACATGCGTGTATATGTGTGTATGTGTCTTCATGTTTCACACACCTGCACACACATATACAGCACATGGTATGAAATATTGCTTCTATACTACTTTTCATTAGGCTAAGAAAACACAAGATTTGCACCACCGTTACAAAAAATTGGCTTCTACAAGAATTTTCAAAACTCGAATGCTGCTCAAACAATTGAAGAAAAAATAATTTGCGGTATCAAACTGTTCTAAAAATTCTCTTCTTCAAAAACGTATTCTCCCGCTTTGTTTTAAAAAGACACAAAATATGCATAGCTATCAACGTTATGTCAAACAGCCAGAAAAAAAATCTAGTGTTTATTGCAGCTGTAGTAATTGGAAATAAAGTCAAAAAGATGAAATCGAAAGCCACAGAAGGCACAAGAACAATTGTACTTGTGGGAAAAAACTGGTATTTTGAAGGATTTTTAAAAATCCCCCCGCTGGTGCATTTTAGGTCTAGGCACAGACTATCACCTCAAGTGTATATGCAAAAATAATTTAGGGTTAGCAGAAAATAAGTGGTAATGTGGTATTTCAACATGCACTTTAGACTTCTTTTTTCCTATGTAAACTGTCCCTCCCACCTTCATAGAAAGTTAACTTTCTCCCAAGTAGCCAATTTTCACTTGGTGAGAGTTGAGCTGAGATTTGAAAGATGGTGATTAAAAAACAAAACAAAACAAAACCCAACCAAACCTAGAATTTTTAAGTAGGAGTTTTGAGAGACAGGCTTTTGTCACTTTCCAATGCACTGGGAGGCACAAGATTTTGTGATCGTAAAAGAGGAAAAACCACCTAAAAGCAAAAGTGATCGAACAAAGAGGTGAGTTTATCCTCATGCAATTTCTACTCTGAAATCATTTCTATGCCTCAGTGAACCTTGAGCAGATATTATCATAGATAAGCACATCAACATTGGTTGTGAACACACACTTTTGCTGAATTTGTCTACTTAAATTAGAAAGGCAGGGGAAAATAATACTAAAGATCCAAATGAGCCTGGAATCATTACTGAATTTGCCCCAGATCAGAAGATACTAGCAGTCTGTCTACATAGGTGAACGCACTACGGTTTTGCCTTCTACCTTGCAAATGGCAACACGATGTTGATATGAATTACATGGAACAGCAAAGACCCAGTGGTATAATGACGTGAACAATGAATTCCTACTCTTTGACGTGAAGCAAGGCAAAAGAGTGTGACCACAAGTTGAGATTGCTTCCCTACTTTGTGCTGATTGGATTTTTTTTTTTTTTTTTTGGTTTGCATTTTTTCCAATGTAATGATTATCCGAACTTTTTTTTTTTTCCGCAAGCAAGCCGGAACAAGAACAAACTGGATCTGCTGGCCCTGTGTGTGCTACATAGAGGAGCACAAGCTGGATGATGCATTTGGTTGGGGGTGCAGAGAGAAGCTGGTGGTGTTCCAGCCTGCGTCGCTGCACTCTGTCCACACTGCAAGAGCCCGTTAGCCTCCTGAATGATGCAGGGCATCATAGGACTGTGCCATTTAATTTAAAGTCAGCAGGTTTTAAGGCTTTGTGCTGACAATAATTGCCTCCATACATTCCTGTCCATCAGCAGAATTTATAAATGATGGTAAATTACAGCGATTGGGTCAGCTAGTTAGTCACATGGGTCAATCTGCATTCTCCAGAGTCAAATGTAACTTTTATGAAAATTAAGGGAAAATGGTATTTGTGTTTGGTATAATCTAAATACCAGGTTTGTTCCTGTGTCATTTTAAGTGTAGATCAAATGACCTAAGGGGAGGGAGGGGGGTCTGGAAAAGCCTATTAGGATGAACAAGGAATTCTTACTGCATCTGCGCACAAAACCCATCTGAGAAAACAAGCGTGAATGCCATATGAGTTTTTAAAAGCAAGTATGGGACACTGTACGCTTTGGAAAAACTGGAAAAAGAGAAAATAAGGAAGAAGAGGAGAACCATTGAAGAAAGCATAAAATAGCAGCCAGCTTTCTTATGTGTGCTGGAACTGTGTCTTTTGGGTTAACCCCAACCTCTTCTATGCTGCCTGTACATTGTTTACACGTTTTGGTCAGTACTAGCTTCTGAATTCGAAGAGACTTTATCAGTTGCTTTAAAATGCTGTACCTAAAATGAAGAAACACTTAATTAGACTGTCACCACTTCGAATATCCATCAGGGTAGTGTGGGATCGTATACGAAAAGAGGGCATCCTTACACTGCTCCTCTTCGGAGGTGAAGATCAAGTCAGCTAACTGCTGTCAACAAGCGTCTAATGTAGGCAGGAATTTTATGGTCAACTTGGGATGTCCTTTATTCCTTACTAGAGAAAGGTATTCAGAAAATAGTGGGTTTTTTTTTTTTTTGAAAAAAAAAGTGTTAAATATTAAACAGACATAATAACTCGTTGAAGCATATAAACAGAGTTGAGCAAAGAGTACATTTGAAACGTATGTGCCTTTTAATACCCAAAGTGAGATAATAGAAAATGATGTGAAAGGGGTTTTTCTCTACGAAAAATGATCTATACTCACTTATTACGAAGAACTGATTGTAAAATCTAGAGAGGTAATTTGAAGAGCGGGTACGAATTTTCCAGCCTCATCTCGAAAGAGTCAGTTTTGTGTAGAATTGCTTTGCCTCCGTAAGAAACGGGTACACTTGTTTGGGCTACTTGCCGTTTCTCTTACGGAGAGGCTTGACAGTGACTATTTTTCTTTCTGGAATTTGGCCTTTTGGGGTAACTTTTAAAAGTGAGCTGTCCATCTGCCACTGGCATTATTTTTAAACACGGAACACAAAGCAACTTAACGGAGTTCAAACCAAACAAAATATTTAAGATTACGTAGTGGTTTCATTGAGTTTTCTGGCCTTCTTAGCAGTAAAAACAAGAGACACGTCACCGTCTGTGGAACGGCGCCGTGTCCCGGGTCTCCCTCTGCCAACTGCCATTTGTGATAAACCATCGATCAAGCAGAAGCATCTTTAAAATGCCTTTCCTTGCGAATAGAGATTTTCCACACGTCAACATTCTTTTTCCCTGAAAATTAACCCTATTTTAAAGTCTCCAAATGTTAAGGGCCTCGGGCAAAAGTAAACTAAAGACCGAAGGAAAATAACCATCCCCTTGCAATGGAAAACAAGAGAAAAGGAGCGAAAGATGATGAGGAGGAGCTACCAGCTGATTTCAAAACATATCCATGCCTCCCATACACATCCATAGGAAATCAAAATCTAGACACGTACAACTTGGACATCCAAAGGGGACTGCTACTATTCATACATTCGAAAAGAGTTGTTGAAATTTCTACTCATGAAGCAGCTCTTGTAGGCAGTTCGGGGATTTGAAAATCTCAGGGACTTCACTATCCAGCTTGCAGATGACCTTGTATATGGCCTTCTTCCAGGAAGGATCAACATCTTTGCCTGCGATAATGGCATTGAAAAACTCTCGTAATGTGATCTGCGCAACTTCCAGGAATCTCTCTGGAACCTGCTGATACAAGGAGGCAATGGCATTAATAAAGTTTTCAGTTTCAAGTCTCCGGTTCTTCAAAGGAAATTGAGCTAAGTTCTCTCTTTCAGAAAGGGGCTTACGTGGCACCTGAATTTGCTAAAAATGGCCGGCCTCTATTCTCTTCTGTGAAGTCGTTATATATAGTAGCATTGTAATGTGGGGTGGACAGCTTTGTGAAGTTTTAGAAAGGGACTTGTGCAAGGGATGCATGCAGACATACTGAAAAACCAGGATTCCCTTCTGAATATTCGGGTGAGAAAAGGGGACACACTATTGGGATTCCCCACTTCATTAAACAGGTGTATTCCAGGTGCAAGTCTCCAGCTGATCTTTCAGAATTTGAATCCTATTTCCTTTTGATTTCCACTGTGAAAACAAAGTGTTCTCAAAAGTAGAATAAGAGATCATTGGCTTTTGAAATCAATGAAACCCCCTATAAATGAAGAAAACCTAAGGTCTGTTTCCTGCTCATAGCAGCAGAGGATTGTTGACCCAAATGCTAAATTGTATATGAGAGTAGTACGCACCATAAAGTGCTCTACATACAGACGGGGATAAGATAATGACATTAACACTGAGTCCCAAAATACAAAATCTGTACTGAGTCCTAAAATTCTACATTGGAAATTATTTTACTCTGAGATTAGAATTGCTCCATGAGAGTGATTCATGCAGCTGATAGCAATAACGAAAACTAACATTTCTGGAGTGCTTATTATGTGTCAGGCGCTCTGTTATGTACAGACTGTGAATCATGCCATTCAATTCTCCCAACATCTCTATAAGGTGTCATTGTCCCCTTTCTACTGTGGAGAAAACTGAGGCTCAGAGAGATCAAGGGACTTTTTCCAAGTCCTTACATTCTAAGACAAATAACCTCCAAATATTCTTTTTATTTTTTAATTATTTTTATGTTTTAAAAGATTTTCTTTCTTTATTTATTTTAGAGAGACTGAGAGAGAAAGACAGAGGGAGAGCACAGCATGAGTGGGGGTGGGGGATGGGAAGGAGCAGCAGTTGGAGAGGGACATGCAGACTCCATGCTGAGCGCAGAGCCTGACACAGGGCTTGATCTCACGCCCCTGAGATCACTACCTGAGCTGAAATCAAGAGTCAGACGCTAAACCAACTAAGCCACCCAGGCGCCCCTCCAAATATTCTTTTTAGAACCCCTAATTGTTTATCCTTTCCTTCCACAACAGTTAATACATGCGTGTGTTCTTAATTGTTTACTTAACAGTCCAACGTCTTGTCCAGGGAAAGGGGTCGCTGTTGATGTACTTACTTAGTATTCTTTGTCAGTTACTCAAGGTGAAGCATGGCTTCTGTTCCGCACACCAAGATAAAGGATTTGCAGAGCCATTCCACAAACTCTTAATTTTCCAAGTACACATGGACCCTCAGTAGATTTCTTTTAGTGGGGTACTTCTGCATTAGTAATGTTTTATTTTTATCGTAAGTGCAGACATATGAGGAAGTAAATGCACTGTAGTTGTATGTGTAGATAGATCTGTCTACACATACAGAAGAGGTGAAAGATTTTCATCTCAGTTCACATATGCCACTTTACCAAGTAAAAGGGAGGTATTGTCATGTCGAATAGATTTGATCTCTTTCTCCCACTCTTTCTCAATTTGTGCAATGGACCATTTTATAATGACAGTAACTATTAAGGAAAACTAAAATGATCACCAGGCATCCCTGTTTTATACATTTAAAATTGGACAAAGAGGTTCACTCCTTCAAATGGTAAGTCGCTTGTCTTTTGTAAAGAAAATTAGTAATTCCCCAGATAAAGAAAGGACCCCATCTGGGGCCTATCAGAGTCTAGAAAAAGAGAAAATTTTGAGGAACCCCTTCCAAAGACATACACCCCAGCCAGTCTCTCAGGGCATAGCTCTCCAAAATCATCCAAACACCCCTTGTCCCCCATGGATGTGCAAACCCATACACCCCAAAGGCCATTCCCTGATGAGAATTCATCTGGATTTTCTAAGGAACATTGGTGATTTCTCCCTAAAATTCCTGCAGATACGTGAGTATTTGTGCGATAGGAGGAGCCCGGAGGAGAGATTAGCTCTCTCACTCACCTCACACCAAATAAAAAGTCATTAAGCAGCCTTTTTTGAGTTCTCTCCCTTCTTCCCTCAAAGATAACCCTTCACGTTTTATCAGATGGGCATTACTGAGAGAGGGAATCTGGCTGGAGAACAGCGAGGCGGTACAACTATGGGCTCTAACTACTTGGTTTGGGAGCTGTCAGCCAAATGCTACAGAAACATAATCATAGGCATTTATTGAAATAAACATTTCAAGAAGTGTGGTTTTCCCGGCCATTGGCAACAGAGGCATGACAAAGATCTATGTTTCTTGAACACTTAGGGACGCAGCAGGGCACGCAGCAGGGCATGGCAGAGAGCTGTGCGGGACACAGGGTATGGTGGCTGCTCCAGAGGAAGTCAGAGAGGACTGGGAGCTCCTCCACACCAAGGGCCCCACGGGAGGTCTGGAGTACCAGGGGCCAAGGGGGCTGAGATCATATTGGTTGAGATCATCAGAGGAGAGATGCATCTAGAACAGCATCTGCAATAGAGGCGGGAGGAAGGCTAGTTCTAGGGTGTGCCTGAGGGCAAATCAAAGTAACTTCTCTTGGGTGTGTGTGTAGCTCCCACCCTATTATTATCTGCCATTCTTGTTAATGGTTTTTAGTGGGTTTTACCTCGTTTTAAACGTTCATTTCTTTTGGCGGTAATCTTGGGCTATCCTTCACCATCTTTTGTATTTGTGTTTTGTGTTGTTTAATTTTTCACCTACTTCTATCTAGTTGTAATGAATTTGCCCCAAGATGTCTTTAGATAAAGAGCCTCAGTTTCTATTCTGTGTATCCCCCACAATGCTTAACAAAGTTTTTTTTGCATAGGCTTTCATGATGAGAACTTGCCTTCTGCTTTACTCCATACTGCTCTGGAGTCACACTTACCTTCTCCCTCGATACTTAAAATAAATAAATAAATAAATAAATAAATAAATAAATAAATAATGCTAAAAAAAGATAGCATTTAAAGAGTTGGAACAGACCTCAAAAGTCATTTTATAGATGAAGAAACTATGAGACTCTAGAAGATGAATAAATTATGAGAACAAGAGACTCATGTGAAATAACATGTCCAGGTGTCTTATCATGAAACCATGCTCTCTCTCTTTTAATGCATTTTCAGTAATTTCTATTTATATGGGGCATCAAAACCTTGACAAGCTGTGGATCTGTGACTGAGAAAAACCACAGAAGAGCTAGTAACTTCAAAATGAATGTGAATGGTACAAAGGATTCCCAGGAGGAAACTTAGGATATTGGTTTATGTTTGAGAAGGGATAAATTCTTTTTGAACAAATGAAATGGTTTGCTAATTTAGGGCTTACTTTGAGGCAAAACTCATACAACAGACTGGGCTGGTTTAAAGCAATTGATCATGAGATCCTCTAATGCTTGAGCCATTAATCTTTTTTGGTGGCCCCAGAGCGGTAAACTGATGAGTAGCAACTGATCTTTTGAGAGAGTGCCAAAGAATTCCATCCACAGGTAGAAAGATCACCGATGAGAAAAGAGACCCTTACCCCTTTCCACTTTAAAACTTTTCCCAACTGCATTTAACAGAGTAAAAGGGGGTCCTTTCTGTTTTTGGGGGGGCTGTCTTAGAATTTGGGTTTACAAGAATGATGTTGCCCATATTTTTCTGTACCTCTTCACACCTAATGGATTTCCAATCACTAATAAACATCTGCAGAAAATCCCTTAGTGACAAGTAATCCCTTATCTAGGTTTCTTTTAATAGAACCCAACAATCTGCAGAATGAACCCCAGAGTATCTCCTCAGCATCAGGTGGCAACAGTCAATCAAGTCCCTGGAATGCAAGACAATGCAGGCTGCTGGGAGGGGGGGAGGGAAGGCCATGCCTTTGGACATGCCACAGGGAAAAAACAAAAGGCTTCCAAAGTCTCTGGCTGGAACTCTGAAGCTATTGTGGGAGCTGCTGTGCTGAGTGTTCTTCAGGAGAGGAGAATGGAAACTTTGCTTGATAAAAAGGCATCCCAATATAGGAACCTCACCCCAAATGGTCTTGCCTCCCCTTGCCTTGATATTTGGAGGAGAATATAATTGCGACGAGGTACTTGAATGCACTCATGAATTTGAAGGGGGCTGGCTATCAGCATCTACCAATTTCATCACAATCGTTCCTACTTGAGTCTCCTCAGAGCAAGCAAGGGCCTTATGGGCTTTGATGAAATGGGGAAATCGGGAGGATGTTTTCCAGTCTGCTCCAGCTGTGGCTGGGTTGTGCGAGTGTGCACGCACACACGAATACACGTGCACACACGCACACGCACAGTGTGTTGGGTGGGGGGCTGTTTTGCTGTTCTTTTTTTTTTCCCCTCAGAATGAGTGGCAAAGACACATTTTTCCCCTGTCTTCCTCCTCCTCTTCCCAGTTGCTTTACCTTCAAGGATGATTTGTTTTATTAAATTGACTGTCCCTAGCCTCTGCAGTACATAATAAAAGCCTGACGTAGCAGGCTGCCTGCCTTCTGTGTCCTGCAGACACTCATCATAAGTGTCAGGACATACCAAGGTTAGTGGTCACTGGAAGTGTGCTCGCTGGCCCAAACCTTGCCAAACGCTCTTGGCAGCTGAATGAATGTCACAGAGAATAGAAGGGGAATTACAAAGGTTAAAAAGAAGACAGCCTCTCCTATTTTCTGGAGACAGAGAAGCTGATTTTTCACACCTCTGAAATATCCACAAGCTCATCCCTTGGCCTTTTGCAGGAGACCTAAACCTGGCTGGCCCCTTGCACAGTTTCCCATGGATACCTCTCCATCCTCAATCCCCCTTAAAAATTTTGTCCACTGGCCTAATTTTATCAGTGAAATGATCTTTGCTGAAATGGAGAGAAAACAAACCAGGCATAATGCTCTCT